TTTTGGAAGACTTAACATTGTGAAGATTGCTATATTCCCCGATGGATCTACAGATTCAGTGCAATTCCTATCAAGATCCAAGATTCCAACTGCCTTTTTGGGGGAAGATGGACAAGCTGGCCCTAAAATTCATGTGGAAATGTAAGGGAGCCAGAGTAGCCATAGAACTAGGAGCTCAGTCTTTCTGTGAAGGAAGCCTATTAGCTAATCATCTGTGACTGCACTCTGAGAGGCAGACTTCTGATTAACACACCTGTAGGGGCTAGTGTAATCCTTTCCAGAGACCTTGGAAGGCTGGTGCTATTTGCACACTCATCCTCTGACACACTACAGAGCACTAGTGTTTCCTTCCAGATAAACTTACAGGTGTTGGGTGTAGTATTTTTTTGTAGCAGTTGTCCGGGGGACTTCCCACCCCTTCATCACCTGGCTCTGTTGGCCAGGGGGCTTGAATTCCTAGGTTCCAGGGGACTGTGAGATTGAGAGATAGCTCTGGGCAGGCTGATGCCCCCAGAGCCCTGCACAGATGCACACACCCTAATCTTTCTGCAAGGAAATCCCTTTTGCTTCTTCTAGAGCTTCAGCCTGAGGGGCAGGTTTAAGGTCTTGCACACATTTGGTGGCCTCCAGAGCTGCTCTTGAGGAACACAGGCTATGGATGCCATCTTGGTGCTCTCCCTCGGCTTCATTTCAGCTCACCAGCATGACCCAGAAGAAAGCTTATATACTAATCTAGAGCCCACATTTTTGTGACTGCTACCCAGAAGACACCTCCAAATTGCCTGGTTCTGGTGGCCATAGGACTTACACTTGCAGTCTGCCAGACTATAAAATTTCCATACTTTTACAAGCCTATGCCTGAGGATCTGACTTTCAGTCAATCTGGATCTAGATGCTAAGATCCTCCCCTTCGGGATATTGACAGACACATCTCCCACTACTGGGAGCTATTTAAAAAAAATAGAATCAGCTGCTTGGACAAACACAAAGATTTGTAAGACAACCAAGAGATGAGACAGGGTTGAACATCAAGGTTCATCTCCTAGGTAAGACTACTCCTTCAATACTGGGAAAGTAGTTTTTTCATCCACAATGTAGAAACAAGAGAGTTCAGCAAAATGAAGAAACTGAGGAATATGTTCCAAAGCATTCAATAAATAGTATTGGAAATATGGGACAACCACATGCAAAGAATGCAACTGGACCACTCTTTCACACCATACACAGCAATCAGTTCAAAATGGATTAAAGATGGATGTAGGACCTGAAACCAAAAAAGTCCTTGAAGAAAACATAGGCAATGAGCTTCTTGACATTAGTCTTGGTGATGATTTTTTTATCTGACAACAGAAGCAGAAGCAAAAGCAAAATAGCAAAAATTAAAAATTAAGACTGTATTAAACTAAAAAGCTTCTGCACAGCAACAGAGATCATCAACAAAATTAAAAGGCAATCTACAGAATGGGAGAGAATATTTGCAAACTGTATATCTGATAAAGTATTAATATCCAAAATATATAAAGAACCCAAACAACTCAGTAGAAACACACACACACACACACACACACACACACACACAGTCAAAATAAAAATGGTGAGAGGATCTGAATAAACAATTTTACAAAAAAGACATATAGATAACCAACTGGTACATGAAACAGTGCTCAACATCACTAATCATCAGGGAAATGCAAATCAAAGCCGCCATGAGATATCACTTGTTAGAATGGCTAGTATCTTTTTTTAAATGTTTATTTAATGTTTTATTTATTTCTGAGAGAGAGAGAGAGAGACATGAGCAGGGGGTCAGAGAGAGAGGGAGACACAGAATCTGAAGCAGCCTCCAGGCTCTGAGCTGGCTGTCAGCACAGAGCCTGATGCAGGGATTGAACCCACAAACCGTGAGAAATCGGACATTTAACCAACTGAGCCACCCAGGCGCCCCAGAATGGCTAGAGACAAGAAATAAGAAGTGTTGGTGAGGATGTGGAGAAGGAGGAAACCCCTGTGTACTTTGGTAGAATTGTAAATTGGTGCAGCTACTCTGGAAAAAAGTATGGAGGTTCCTAAAAAAAATTAAAAATAAAACTACCACATGGTCCAGCAATTCCACTTCTGTGTATTTATATGGAGAAAATAAAAATATAACTCAAGATATGTATACCTCCATGTTCATTGCAGTATTAATGCAGTATAATTTACAATAGCCAAGATACGGAATTAACCTAAGTGTGTGCGTGTGTGTGTGTGTGCATGTGCGCATAATGGAATATTACTCAACAAAAAAGAATGAAATTTTGCCATTTGCAACAACATGTATGGACCTCAAGCAGATTACACTAAGTAAAATATGTCAAACAGAGAAAGACAAATATTTTATGATTTTTTTTTTTACATGTAGAATCTAAAACAAACAAGCAAACAAACCAGGCTCATAGATATAAAGAACAGATTGGTGATTGCCAGAGGCAGGGGTTTAGGGGGTGAGAGAAGTGGGCAAACTGTTTTTGTTTTGTTTCTAGATTTAAAAAAAAATCCTAAGACTTCTTAGAGAAAGGTTAATTGCATGTGTGGGCAGCAGAGACATGAAGTCAATGTAAGGCAATTTGAACAGAAAACAAACTTTCCAAGATTAATAGGTTTGTGTGAAAAGGAAACAGAGGCTACCTTGAAGGGACTTCCAGTAGCCCAAACTATGATGATTTAGTCTATAAAAGAACAATTATTATCTTTTTAAAAGCCCTCAAAATGGGATTGGAGACCTAAATATAAGAACTGATGCTATAAAATAGTCAGAAGGAAACATAGATATAAATTGTGGCTTTGGGTGAGGCAGTGGTTTCTCAGATACGACACCTAAGCCACAAGCAATAAAAGAGAAAATAGATAAATTTAGCTTCATCAGAATTAAAATAATTTGTGCTTTAAAATTAAATTATTTGTGCTTCAAAGAATACTATCAAGAAACTGAAAAGACTAGTTGCAGAATGGGAGAAAGTATTCGCAAATTATATATTTGATAAACAGTTTGGCAATTTCTCAAAAAGGTAAACATAGATTTACTATTTAAGTTCCACTCCAACATATCCAGGAGAATTGGAAACATATCCACACAAAAATTTGTACATTAATGTCCATAGTAGCATAATTCATAAAAGCCAGCATTTAGGAACAACCCAAATGATCATTGGCTGATGAAATGCTAGACAAGATATGTTATATTCATACAATGAAATACGATTCAATCATTAAAAGGAATGAAGTACTGATAGGTGCTACAACATAAATGAATCTTGAAAATACTAAACTCATTGAAAGAGGCTAGATTCAAAAGGCCACAGTGTGTCATGAAATATCCAGACTAAGGAAAACAATAGAGACAGAAAGCCTATTGGAGGTTGCCAGGGGTTGGAAGGAGAGGGAAGGGAGACTGGGAAGTTTCTCTCAGTGGGTATTGGGTTCCTTTTTGTGGAGGTCATGAAAATAATCCAAAATTAGATAGTTGTGTGGGTTTCACAATTCTGTGAATATACTAAAAACCACTGAATTGTACCACTGAATTGCCTGTGTTTACCATATATACGTGTATACACACATATGCATATACACACACACACAGTCCTCTATCGTATGTCAGTTACACTTCAATAATGCTGTTGGGAAAAAATAAATTTAAAGAACAAATATATATTAGTATATAATATATACTCTCCAGTGCACCACTTCTCACCTCCACCAGCGCCATCACTCAATCCAAACTGTCATCATTTCTGTGAAAACATGCCTCACTGATCATCCTGCTTCTTATCTTGTCCAACCCATTTTTCTTCCCAAGAGTCTATTGTCTACACCAAAGCTGAGTCCTCTTTTAAAAATGTAATGAGATCATGTCATTCACCAGATCTAAATCCTCTGCTGGCTTTCTATCACACTGAGAACTCAGAGGAGCTCTGCTTGTATCTGATTTGGATTGTATGGCTCCAACCAGTTTCCCTTGGAGAAATGGTTCCATAGCTAATAAAATTTTGAAAGCCTCTTTGAAGACAGAATAGCTGACAGTACTATATCCTGTCCCTTTTGCCTCAGCCACGAGAAGTCCTTGGATGGGAGAAAGCCTTTGAGCAAAGGTGGAAGCTTAGGAGGTGTATCAAGACCAAGGTCAGACACCTACTTAGTGTCGCCACTTCTGTCTAAACTACTTAGTAACAGGTAGTTCAGATAATGAGCAAACTCCATCACAACACTCAAAAGAGTGATACTTGTCACTTTACCTGCTCAGGCAAGTATCAAGTGCTTATTGAGAATTTAGCTCTGTTGTACTGTGTGCTGAGTATTTGACTCCCAGAGTTCAAGCTCACCTGAAGAAGCTGGTGTGTAGCATTCATTAGACAATCATTTGGTTTTCAAGGACCCACTACTGAAAAAAACTAGGGGACTTTGTGGAAGGGACAGGGAGGTTCTGACAATCAGCAGTGTGGGTGACTCGTGAGGATTGGTTCATATTCAAAAAAGGAAGAAGAGGGACACCTAGGTGGCTCAATCGGTTAAGCCTCCGACTTTGGCTCAGGTCTTGATCTCACGGTTTATGGGTTCAAGCCCCGCATCGGGCTCTGTGCTGACAGCTCAGAGCCTGGAGCCTGTTTCAGATTCTGTATCTCCCTCTCTCTCTCTGACCCTCCCCTGCTCACACTGTCTCTCTCTCTCTTTCTCTCTCTCTCTCTCTCAGAAATAAATAAAACATTTAAAAAAATTAAAAACAAAAACAAAAAAGGAAGAAGAGCTTCTAATTTGGATCGACAGAGAATGCCTCGCTTCCCATTACCCCCTCTCCATTCTCCTCCAGGCATTCAACTAATAACTTCTCTTTCAAGCTCTGCTCTGCCCCACTCTACCGCCTCCTCCCCCCAGAGCAGTTGTTTACAAGTCATTTCCCTGTTTTCAGGAATGAGCAAGTGACCAAATCACGAGAAGACCCTGAGACTTTAAATTGTCTCTTTCAGATCGGGTACAGATCATGTTCCTCCTGCTGATGTTGAGCCTGGGAAAGCAGCTTCATCAGACAGCAGGTAAGAAAGGCCAAAGGGAGGGGCCTGAGAAAGAGGAATAGGCAACTTCCCCATAGCTGAAGCCAATGGTGAAAATGAGGTCCTCAGGCTGAAGGCTTTCTTTAACTGGAAGTGTGATGACTGTCACATGCACAGTAAAAAATAATGGTGCCCTGGGTGGCTTGTGCTTGCCCCTGTCTTACAGAAACAGTAACCTTTTGGCAGATGATGAAACTGGAATTCAGAAAAGCTATTTAATTTACCTGAGATTATGTAGTCATTAGGCGTCACAGGCAAGCTTCCTACAAAACTAATGCCCTTCCTACCTTACCAGACTACAGTGATGGTGACAATCCAGACAGTCCCTAATCTTCTGACTTTGGAATGGATTTTTGGAGTTAAGTTTGATTATGAACATATATTGAATGTTGACACTGGACATTTACAAAACCAAAAACTATGTATGATGACTTATGTTTATGAATTAACCAAAAGGAAACTATGAACATATCTTATCTTGGAGCACCTGAGTGGCTCAGTTGGTTAAGCATCAGACTCTTGATTTTGGCTCAGGTCATGATCTCACGGTTCATGGGTTCAAGCTTCACATGACACTGACAGTGCAGAGCCTGCTTGGGATTCTCTCTCTCTCTCTCTCTCTCTCTCTCTCTGTCTGTTCCCCTTCTTTCCCCCTCTCTCAAAGTAAATAAACAAACTTTTAAGAAAGCATATGCGAGCAATCAGGCTGTAGCATCCGCTCTCTAAGGAGAACCACAGCTGTCAAGGTGGCCGGACTGATGACCTCACTTCCCTCAGTGCTTGTTCAGCCCTAAACTTGGACCCCTCTTTGACAAGGAAAAAAAAGATAATGTGAATTGAATCAATATAATTCTTTATTACCCTCTCTATGTGAATTTCCATATTTGAATTTTAAAAAGAATGCTTATAGCAGCATTATTCATCCTTCAAAAAGAAACCAAAACAACCAAATGCCCATCAACAGGGTAATACATAAATTGTAGTATATTAGCAGAATGGGAAAATATACAGCATGTGAATAAATTAATTACAAAAATATGCAACTACATTTAAGAATCTTAATAGCATCATAATGAGTAAAAAGCAAAAAAAAAAAGCACAGAAGACAACATACAATACAATGCCCTTTTTATAAACCATATATTGATTAGGTATATATGTGTATACACATATATGATACAGCTAAAAATATAAGCAAGAGATTAATAAACATCATATTCAGGATGCTGATTATGTTTGGTGGTAGAAGTAGATGTAGGTTATTAGTGATGTTCTGGTTCTCAGGGGAGGTGGTGAATGGATTCACAGGTGTTCATTTTATTTGATTTGATATCTTTAAATTTTTTTCCGTATTTAAACCTTTATGTCAGGGCACCTAGGTGGCCCATTCAGTTAAGTGTCTGACTTCAGCTCAGGTCATGATCTCACAGTTTGTGATTTCAGGCCCCACATCGGGCTCTGTGCTGACAGCTCAGAGCCTGGAGCCTGCTTCTGATTCTGTGTCTCCCTCTCTGTTCCTCTCCCACTCACTCACTGTCTACCTCTCTCTCTCTCTCTTAAACATTAAAAAAAGTTTTAAATAAATGACCTTTATGTTGTAAAAGATACCACAAGTACAGAAAAGTACATGAAACAGGTGAAAAGCATCATATTCCCGTATGGTGCACACTTTTCTAACCATCACCTATGTCACATAGTAGATCTGTACCAGCCTTCCTCGAAACCTTTTGCCTGCCCCAGTCCTCCATAACCTCCTCCCCATAACCCTGTACTATCTACCCTTTATTCCATTAAAACTTTTACTAATTGTTGGGGTGCCTGGGTGGCTCAGTCAGTTAAGCATCCAGCTCTTGATTTCAGCTCAGGTCATGATCTCACAGTTCATGGGATTGAGCCCCGTGATGGGCTCTGCTCTCTCTCTCCCTCTCTCTCTGTCCCTTCCCCCCTCCCCCAATAAATAAACCTTTAAGGAAATCTAAAACATAAAATAAAACAAAAAATAAAGTGGCTCTATATATTTCATTGGACATGTTGTAATTTATTTAACCAGTCCTTTATTGATGGAAATTATAATTATTTTAAACAATTGATTCTTGCTGGATTACTGCTTGAAAAAGAATGTGTTTCCTAAAGACTGTGGTGAAAATGGACTCAGAGTATGACTCAGGTAAACCATTTATCGTGAACTCTTTCCTTAAGAGTGTGCTCTGTGGGTGCTCTATTCTGTTATCTGTAAAACAATTTAAAATTTGAAAAGAAAAATTGGCAGAAAACATTTTCATTTCATTTTTTAAACATGTATTCACTTTTAAGTTGGCATACAGTAACATTTAATCTTTTTAGTAAAAACATCTGTGAGTTTTTGGCAAATGTGTAGTCGTATAACCACCACTACAATCAAGATCCACAATAATTCTACCACTTGCCAAGCAAACACACAAAATACCCTCCCCAAACTCTTAAAGCCAGTACCCACTGTTCTCTGTACTAGAGTTTTACCTTTTCTAGGATGTCATGTGAATGAGATTATTCATTACATATGCTTTTTCTGTCTGGCTTCTTTCACTTAGCATAGTGCAATTGAGGTTTATCCATATTGTTAGATGTATCAATAGATCATTCCTTTTTTCTTGTTGACTAGTATTCCACTGTGTGTATATACCAGAGTTTGCTTATTCGTTCCCCAGCTGAGGGACTTTTGGGTTGTTTCCTGTTTGGGTGCAATTATGAATCAAGTTACTATAAATGTTTTTATATAGATTTTCATGTTAATTTCATTTGGGTAAATACCTAGGAGTAGGATGGCTGGGTCATATGGGAAGTAAATATTTAACTTTATAAGAAGCCACCAAACCTTTCCATAGTGGCTATACCGTTTCTGCATTCCCCTAGCAAAGTGTGAGAGCTCCAATTATTTCACATTCTTGGCAGCACTTGGTATTGACATTGTCGCCTTTTTTTTTTTTTAAGTCATTCTACTAGGTCTGCAGAAGTATCTCTTTGTGGTTTAATTTGGATTTTCCTAATACCTAGGAAAATAGATATTTCTTAATATCTAGAGAGGATGAGCATATTTTCACATGGCAATTGGACATTTATGTCTTTTGGTAAAGTCTGTATTCAAACTATTTGACCATTTTTAATTGGAATTCAGAAAAGTTATTTAATTTACCCAAGATTATGTAGTCATTAGATATCACAGGCAAGTTTCCTTCAAAACTAATGTTCTTTCTACCTTACCAGCCTACAGTGATGGTGATACTAAAGCATGGCAGACTTATTAAGTTTTTTTCATTTTCTTACTAAGTTTTTAGAGTTCTTTGTATATTCTAGATGCAAGTCCTTTATCAGATGAATGATATGCAAATATTTTCTCTCAGCCTGTGGCTCATTTTTCATTCTCTTAACAGTGTCTTTTGCACAGCAAAGATTTTAATTTTGATGAAATCCAATTTCACTTTGTGTTCTTATATGAACTGTGCTTTTGGTGTGATGTCTAAGAACTCTGCCTAATCCAAACTCTCAAAGACTTTTTTCTATGTTTTCTTCTAAATATTTTATTTTTTAAAATTTTGTTCAATGTTTATTTCTTTTGAGAGAGAGAGAGACAGACAGACAGACAGAGCGTGAATGGGAGAGAGGTAGAGACAGAGGGAGACACAGAATCCACAGCAGGCTCCAGGCTCTGAGCTGTCAGCACAGAGCTGGACGCGGGGCTCGAACTCACAAGCTGTAAGATCATGATCTGAGCTGAAGTTGGACGCTTAACTGACTGAGCCACTCAAGTGTCCCTCTTCTAAACATTTTATAGTTGTATACTCTTAGGTTTATTATCCATCCTGAGTTAATTGTCACCAAAGATATAAAGTATAAGTTGAAATTTTTTTTTTTTTTTTGCATGTGGATGTCCAGTTTCTTCAGCCCCATTTGTTGAAAAGGCTGTCCTTTCCCCGCTGGCTCGCCTTGCACGTTTGTCAAACATCAGTTGACCATCTTTGTGTGGGTTGATTTCTAGACTCCATTCTGCGATCTGTTCTGTTGATCTCTGTGTACACTTTCACGCAGAGCACACTCCTTGAATTTCTGTCATGTTGTAGTTCTTCTTCTCTTATCATTTAATTTCAAAACCTAAGAACATCTTGTAACTCAGGTACATTTAAGAGGGAAATACTCGTTTCTTTACTTTGTCATGTCTTGGGGGGAAAGTAACCCCAATCATCATCCCTTTTATTGGTGTTTTATTCTTTCTTCATCCTCCAGAGATGGTAAAAAACCAAGGGAGCACATGGCCATGGTGATGCTTGAGGTCACTGTGAGGTGGGGACCAAGCTTCAGCCTCTGAAACTACTTGTTTAGACCCATGAGGTATACAAAGCAGAAGAATCATGTTGGGGGAAGGATTCCTAAGAGCTGAGATGCCTCCATGCAGTATTCCTGCAAAGAGGAGCAGATGAGTCAGGTGCCCAGAACAGGCTTCTATCCTAAACCAGGAACGATAGTTTTCTGAAGACTGGTTGTGTAAAGCAGCCCCCACCTTTCAAGTTCATTAAGTACACATTCTGAAAAAAAAAAAAAAAAAAAAACACTTAAGCTTCTGTTATTAAATGGAAAAAAAAAGTATAAAATTAGCTTCAAGGGGAAGCTATCTTGGGAGGTAATGCAAATGATTTGTTTTGTGTTTCTGGAGATGTGACAGGTGCTGACTCCTATTGATGCCTGATTGCAAACAGTGCACAGCTTCCCCAGGAGCTTTCAGAAAGGTCCAGCACTGCTCAAGCCAGCTGCTTTGACCTGTTTAAAGAAGCTGCATATATGAATTTTGCATGTCCTGGCCAAATGTTTCTTTAATTTAGTCAGGAGGCCCAAATGGTTGGGAAAACCTGTTTTGTTCTGGTTTTGTCTGCTTAGTTTTGTAGTCATGGAGACTTTTTCCATTTTTTTCCTTTGTCTCATAACTTTAGGAGCTCAGTGCTAGATTGAAG